TTGGCTTTCCCCCTCTTTGCCCTTCTCACTAAACGCTTTCTCCTTTTCAGTAAAAGGAGGTGAACGAGGAACGTGCGCAGGAAATTTGATGGGAGGCAAGAGTAATGTCCTTCTTTCAAAAGCTATACATCCTTCAACCCAGTTAGGGGTACACTTCTGAGTTCAGAAAGGATGCAGACTACACCATATAACTAAAAACTCTGGCCCAAATCTCATAAAGGGTCTACTGGCAGGAACCGTCATTACAATACAGAGTAAAAGGAGAAGTAGTAAGCAGGGAATTTCCCTCCTTCTAACTCTAAAGCAATACTGGGGACATTCGGCAACATCTGAAGATAGCTTTGGTTGTCATGACTTGGGGGATGGGGTGAGTGTGTTACCTGCTTCTAGTGGGTAGACGCACAGGACTGCCCCTACAAGAAAGATGTGATGTTATGTACCATGCAGTTGGATGGGAGGAGACTGCCCAGCTTTCTTCTGAGGAGCTGCTGGTTTATTCCGATCGTGTGGTCTAGTGGTAAGGAATTGCGCTGCCAACCCAAAAGCATGCTGTTCAAATCTGCCAGCTGCATGGCGGGAGCAAGAAAGGAGATCTCCACCCGCCCTCCTGTGCCATCAACTGCCTCTGAAAAACTGCTGGAGGATCGGCTATGATGAGCCTGTCTCGACTCGATGGTACACAGCCACCACCTTTGAGTTGGCAGCACAACTCCACCAAACCAGGCAATAAGGACAACAGTGTCAGCACTGAGAAATCCCAAGCTAGAATATTCTTCGCAAATAATCTTTTGTCTTTTTTCCTCGGTCCCATAAACCACACCCTCACCACCCTAGTGGGTGGTGACTCACAGCCAAGAACTGCCCTCGTAGGATGGTTTCGAAGGCAGTAAGTCTTTACAGAAGCAGATTGCCACATCCTCTCTTCTGCAGGGGGACTGCTGATTTCGAACCACTAATCTTTTCGATAGCATCTGAGTGCCACCGCCATGCTTCCCTTGCCTCCCTAAGACAGTGAGACATTAATGCTGTAAGGACACATCCTTGACACCATCCTCTCCCATATCTAGTGACACCCCCGCATACCACATTCTAACCAGGCTGTCATTGATTATAGTATAAATCATCTCTCAGTTCTAGTCACCCCCACCCCCACCGTCCCTGTTCTATTTCAAGCTTTTTTCGTCTTTCCCTTAGATTATTTATAGCGACAGTCTTCACACTGGTGCTGAAGATCTACCCTCCGGGAGACAGACTTTCTGATTACATTCTAGTTCTTCAGTGACAACCTTCCCTCCAGTGACACCGAAGGAAATCTTCACCCCTTATGTCCAAAGGCTTGCCTCTCTTCTCAGCTTCATCTTCAGTGGAGCTCCCCAAGTCACTCAGAACTCCTTGCAGAGTGGCCACCATCAGGCAGAATGTCCCTTTTAGAGACTGGCCTGATAACCTTGTTTAAATTTACTTGAATTTAGATGCCAAAATCAAACTAAAATAAAATCCAGGAAGGAACTAGGTTTGCGCAATACCTCCGATTTCCAGCTTCTCTTAAGAAATCAGAAGTTCTGGTAACATTGAATGCACATGCCAGGCTGGAGTTGCTACCCTTCTACCACCCCATCTGGTGGCCCCTATGGATTGCTCCCTGGTCTTCTCAGACTCACTTGTTTGATCTCAGTTTACCACCTGTGATAATTTCTTCCAACAAACCTCTTCCCTTGCTGTCCTCTGGAAAGAATGCTTTTCCATATCTCAAGTATTATCTTTTGTGGTGCTTTCTTTCAACTCCTAAATGCAAAGTTCTTGGCTCCCTTCCATGTGCTCATGAAATAAACACGTTCCTTAAGTCAATTTCACCTCGTGCTGATCCTCCATTGCGCTTCTGAAGTTATAAACGTTAAGCAGGAGACTGCTTCATCTTTCTCCTTTGGAACTGCTGGTGGGCTTGAGCTGCCAACCTTTTCATTTAACAGCCCTACACATCTAACCTTTACACCACGTTATGGGTGCCTGTAACATTTTTCTCTTTTTGGGGGTTTGTTTTTGTTTTTATACTTGTTGTGTGCAGTTGAATCAACCTTAGCTGGCACAGGAGGAGATTGCCCCTCCTTCTGCAGTGAAGCATCTGGTGTATTCAAACCGTGTGCCTTCGAGATTGCAGCACAGCTTCTTACCGCTAGTCCACCAGAGCTCCTCCAAAAAGGAACCTTTCCCTCGCCCCCTTTTTCTTCTTGTGTGTGGTCGAATCAGATGCAACTGGCACAGGAGGAGATTTCTCCTCCTTCTCCAGAGCAGCATTTTGTGGATTTGAACCATGCACCCTCAGGATTGCAGCGCAGCTTCTTGCCCCTAGGCCATCAGAGCTCCCCTGAACATTGCTTATGTGTGCTCTTCATGCTTGACAAATTATAGGCAATAATGCAGATGTTTGTGTGCATGTTAATTTTCATTCATTGGATTTGTTTTGTTCCCCTTAGCATCTCCAGCATTTAGAACTGCACCTACGACATCAGATGTACTCAATAAATAGATTTTAATGGATGAATGTATTATACTTTGCTAAGCTGTATCCACAGTCAACATCCTTGGTACCAGCTGTCAGGAGATTAAGAGACATGCTGTACTGAGAAAGTCTGCAGTCAGGAACCTCTCTAAATATTGAGGAGCGATGATGTCAGTTTGAAGACTAAGGTGCAGCTGTTTGAGGCCATGTTTTTTCCAATCAGTTATTGTGCATCTGAAAGCTGTACAATAAATAAGAATGACAGAATTGATGCCTTTAAACTGGAGAAGAATGCTGGATTTCTCAGGACTGCCAAAAGAAACATATGTCTTGGAGAAGGTGCAGAGTGCTTCTTAGAGACAAAGAAGATAAAGCTTCATCTTACATACTATGGGAATGGTGCTAGAAGAAACTATTCCTTGGAGAGGGACATCATGCTCAGAAAGGTGGAGGGTAGGCAAAAGAGAGGAAGACCCTTACTTAACCAGAAGAATTGACACAGTAAATGAAGTAATGGGTTCAAGTGTGTCAGAGATTGTGATAATGGCACAGTATAGGACAGGGCTCAGATCTGTTGTTCATAGGACCACTATGACGAGTTGTACTCAATTCAACAGCACCTAACAACAATCACAACAAATCTATTAGCAAAGGAGAGGAAGATCCCAAGGATTGTTATAGTCACTGTAACAATGGACGTAAGCACAGCAGACATTGTGAAAATGGCTTGGGATCTGGCAAGGCTTTGAGCTTGCACACAGAGTCACTATGAGTCAGAGTTGACTTGATAGCACCTAACAACAACAACAAACAAGGTACGATTAAGTATCCCTTGTGGTACAGTAGTTAAGTGCTCCGCTGCTAATGGAAAGTTCAAACCTACCAGCCAATCCTCAAGAGAAAGATGAAACTTTCCCCCTCCATTACTGTTTTTTTGAGTGCAAACTGGATCATTGGTGAACCTGCTTTGGGTTTCCAAGGCTGTAAATCACACAGGAGGAAACTGTCCATCTTTCTCCCAGAAAGATGCACAGCAGCAGTGAATTCAATCCACCAGAGAGGTGACATCTTTGGGTTAGCAGTGCAAGTCCTTACCCACTAGGCCACCAGAATGCTTGCAAACTCTATGGTGCACTTGCAGTCTGTCCTGTAAGGTTGCTGTGAGTTGGAATTTATCCAGTGTCAGGTTATTTTTAGTTATTTTTAAGGGGGAGACAGTGTAGTTTAGGTGGTGTGAGGAGTACCAATCAACCAGCAAACAAATGGCAACAGGCCTTGCCTGTGAGAAGATCCTAGTGTAAGGCACGGAGAGGTACGCAGAACAATTAGGAAGCATGTAAAAAAAACAAAAAACAAAAAAACCCTCAAAAACCAAACCACCAGCAAAATGCTCCTTTTGAGATGCAGGTTCAGAGAAGAAGGAAACAAATAATTGTAGCTAGTATTGCTTTTGAAGACTTCATGGGATAGATGAGACTTGAACAAGACTTGGAAGAACTGAGAAAAATGGGAGGGGAGGAGAGAGAGAGAGAGGCTAGAGTGAGCTTATGTCTAGCTCTCCACTGATAGCTTTTACAATCAGGTTGTTGTTATGTGCTGTCGAGTTACTTGCAACTCACAGCGACTCTACATACAACAGCCCTAAACCCTGCTCTATCCTGTACCAACCTTATTGTCTCTGACACATCTACCCCCATTAACCAGTCATTGAATCAATCCTTCTCATCAAAAGTATTCCTCTTGGGGAGCTCTGGTGGCCTACTGGCAAGGAGCTGCAACTACAATCCCAGAGGCGCACGGTTTGAATCCACCAGATGCTGTGCCGGGGAAGGAGGGACAATCTCCTCCTGTACCAGTCAGATCTGATTTGACGGTACACGCACACAAAAATAATATACTTTTTTTAAAAAGTATTCTTCTCTTGTGCTGTCCCTTCACCCTTCCAAGCATGATGTTCCTCTTCAAGAACTGGTCCCTCCTGGCAACATGTCCAAAGTACGTCAGACAAAGCTTCAGAATCCTTGCTTCCAAGGAGCAGCCTGGCTTCACCCTCTCCAGGATAAAACTGTTTGTTCTCCTAGAAGTCCATGGTATGTTCAATACTTTTCTCCAGCACCACAGCTCAAAGGCATAACTTCTCCTTTATCATCACTAGTCATTGTCCAGTTTTCTGATGCATAGCAAGTAATTGCAAAGACCACATCATGAATCAGGTGCACCTTAGTCTTTGGATTGACATCATTTCTCTTCAGTACCCTGGAGAGGTCCCTGACAGAAGACTTTCCCAATGCAATTTGTCTTTTGATTTCCTGGCTGCTTGTACCAAGAGTGCTGATTGTGGAGCCAAGCAAACTAAAGCTGTTAATGATCTCAATCTTTTCATTTCCCCTAAAAAAATTTTTTTTAGTCTCGAGACAAAGAATCATAGAAGTCTTAGCAGTATAGCTTAAAAAGTCAACTCTCTCAGACATCACTTTCTCTTTCTTGTTGGGTCACTAACTTGCTTGTGGATGGCCAACTTCTTGGCCAACTTCACTCCTTTGGCTTCTTCTTGTGGTGCTGTAATCACTACCACCAGCCCAGCAAGCATCTTAGCTCGGTCCTCCACAATGGTTTTGAAAAGGTGTTTTTAAATTGTTCTGCTTTTGTTGTTAACTGTGCTAAGAAGATACACAACCAAACACATGCCAATTCAGCAGTTTCTGAGAGACACTGCTGACAGTCTCCAAGTTGTGCAAGGGTTCCCACCCTCCTCTTGTCATTTCTTCCTCCCTCATCAACATAAACTCACTGACTCCTACACTTCCCATTTAAATTTTTAATTGCTGTTGTCTGTTTTATTCCATATGTCTTCTTTCCCCCATCCATACTTCCTTTTTTGTAATAACAGTAAAATTTATTGAGCTGTATCTTAGTACAGGCTTGTCTATTGATATACAAATCCTGAACATTCTGCCAATTCTTCTTTAGCAGTGAAACCAGAAAGTTGACAGCCAGGTGGATGTTGTAAAGAAGTTCACCATCTGTCATCTTCAAGTGGCAAAGAGCCACTGCCAGACACAGGAATTTTTTTCATCTGGACTTAGATGGTGGACTTTTGTCACCATGTTTTCCTTTTGGGAAAGCAGAGAAGGGAACTTGCCAGCCTTATCCAGGCCTGGACCCCAGATTCTTGGGATCTGCTTGATCAGGGAATCAGAGGCCAAAAACACATCATACTTCTTGGCTAGCTTTTCTGACCAGCTGCGTATTCCTTTTGAGTTTTTTCAACACTTCAATGTCCACATGGGGGATATCCACAGCCTTGGCTTTGTCGCAGTGCTGCTGATTCCCAAGAAGACACACAGAGAAGTTGGGATGTGGGGTGGACTTAAGCCTGGTGATCCCCCCTCTCTCTCTCTCTCACACACACACACACACACACACACACACACACACACACACACACTCTGTTCTGAGAAGTATTTGCCCTTTTGAGGGTCTTGGTTCTTCAAACTGATCTGCAGCTCCACTATTTCCAAAAATTTTCTGCGTTTGTGCCTTGAAGTCTGATTTCAAGCTTTTAAGACCCCAGGCACTACAAAACAAACCAAACACACTATGTTATTAAGCCAATTAAGAGGCATGTAGTATGAAACCATGATCTTAAACCTCAAAACAAGGAGGTGTTTGATGCACATAAGCAGCCTCGACATTTTTCCTGTTACTGTTGTCAATACATTGCTCACACAATTTTTTTCCCATATCCACTTCTTACAGATGTACAGCTTATTGATAGAAATTGCAACATTCAAAACATTCTCAGACTCTTCGAAATCTGTCCCCTTTTTGGGGCCAACCCAGGATGGGTCAATCCTTGCACCCTGACAGGGACCATTTTTAAAAGCCCCTTTTGTTACCCACTGCTCGGTCCCCTGGTACTAATATCTCCCCTTTTCTCAGGCTCAGAGCTCTTCAGTTCAACAATTCAAGAGCATCCTTTGCCTGATAGTTGTCTGGGTTTTTGCCTTTAGAAAACTCTCTTGTTTGCCTGGAATTGGTAAGGTAACTAATATTTACATTTAAACAAATAAACCCCTAGTCTCTCTGGCCTCTACATTTTCTGCCAAAGCCACAGTGCTTCTCTGAGGAGAGGGCTCTTTGCATATCTGTGACTCCACCCGCGGAATCAACACTCGGATTTGCACATGCCACTATATTCCTCAAAGGCACACTTTTCCTACTTGGCTCTTGGATAAATGCCAATGCACACATAAAGCATTGTATCTCCCATTTAATGTCAGTTGTGTAAGAGGAGACTATCAGACTTCCGGGAGTAGCATAACTCAGCCCGGCTTTTTGCCGTTATTTGTAGCCTTTGAATCAGCTTCACCTCATGGCAACTATTCGGATAACAGAATAAAATGTTGCTAGATGCTGTGCTATCTTCATGACCATTGGCATATTTGAGTTCATTATTGTGGACACTGATTAGTGTCTTCTAATGGAGGGACTCACTGTTTTGTTGTTGTTGAGTGCCGTGGAGTCAGAATCGACCCATGGCTACCTTCAAGCAGGTTTTCAGAGGCAGTAGATTCACATGGGAGAAGACTGTTCATCCTTCTCCCACCTTAAGCACTATGTTGTTGTTATGTGCCGTCGAGTCTTATGCGACTCATAGCGACCCTATGTACAACAGCCCTAAACCCTGCTCTATCCTGTGCCAATCTCATTGCCTCTGACACACCCATCCCGATTACCCCAGTCACTGAATCAATCCACCTCATAGGGGGTCTTCCCCTCCTGCGCTGTCCCTCTACCCTCCCAAGCATGATGTCCCTCTCCAAGGACCTGTCTCTCCTTACAACATGTCCAAAGTATGTCAGACGAAGCCCCAGAATCCTTGCCTCCAAGGAGTAGCCTGATTTAACCCTCTCCAGGATGAATCTGTTTGTTTTCTTGGCAGTCCAGGGTACATTCAATACTTTTCTCTAGCACCACAGCTCAACCTGACAATATTCTGTTTTGGTCCATACAGTTTTGTTGCCCATTTATCATAGGTAGGCCACAGGGCTTTTCTTCTTAGTCTGTCTTAGCTGGAAGTCCTGTTGAAACCTGGTTACTCCTTGCTGGTGGGATAGCTTCCATCATCATAGCAATAGGGAGCTCTGGTGGCTTAGTGGTAAGGAGCTGTGCTGTCAATCTAAAAGCATGTGGTTCAAATCTACCACCTGCTCTGCCAGAGAAAGATAGGCAATCTCCTCCTATGCAATTAACTAATTGCCTCTGAAAACCTGCTGGAGAGTTAGTTGGTTCCAACTTGATGCTACATAACGACAATATCACAGCAATATATAAGCTATGTATGAAAAGTTGACAGACATCCCAATTTAGTCTTCATAACCCTCATGTCTTCCCATAGCCTTTCACTTGAGTTGCCTTTTCTGATTCCAAATACATTGTTCTTGAGAAGAGATTCTTCCAATTACCCCCCCATCAAATTGTACAACTCCATGATTAAACCCCCCTCCTCCTGCACATCCACATCCCTCTGCTTACACCCTCCCCCACCCCCCTAGGATCCTTATACTCATTCTACAAGAATGGTTTTATACAGTATTTGTCCTTGTGGAACTGAGTTCACTCAGCATAATGCTCTCCAGTCCCTCCCAAGTTAGGCAATACTTTACAAAATCATTTCCCCTGCGTGTTACACAGTATTCCACTGTGTGAATGTACCATAATTTCTCAATCCATTCATTTGTGGTTGGACATCTGGGCTGTTTCCAAGTTCTTGTGATGGTGAATAATGTACAAATCTCAGCTCGTGCCTCAGTTCTCATATTCTCAGGGTATAGTCCAAGTAGTGGAGTAGCTGGGTCATATGGATTTTCTATGTTCAGCTTTTTGAGAAAGCGCCAAACTGCCTTCTAGAGTGGTTGTACCATTCTACACTAGGCTTAGAAACAGAGGTCTGCCTTACTGCTCTGCATCCACAGAAGCAAGGAAGAGCCAGATATCTAACTTCTTGGTTCCCTAATTTCCAAGGAGGAATCAATCCTTGTGAAGTTGATAAGTTTTCTCTATGCCACAATTTAAACTCTATTTTTATAAATATTCCATGATTGTTTGAGGAAACTGTATAGTTTCCAATTACAGGGTGCGGTGTTCTATACAGGTATGTGTAATAGTTTTTTGTTGACTACTTGGAAGCAGGAGTGACATCCATTTCCTTAATAATATGCCTCTGGAAACCCTGTGAACTTTGGTAGATGTCGATAATTGTAGAGGGGCCTCAGGCCTTTTGTTCGTAGGATCGCTATGAGTTGTGCTCGACGTGAAGGCAATCAACAACAACTGGAAGAATATTAAAATATCCCACTATGATGCTATGATCATTACTTTGTACAGATCTCCTTAAAAGTCTGTCAATTTTTCCTTTATATAGATATTTTTGAGGCTGCTAGCTGTGCTGCAATCTTAAAGGCATGCGGTTCGAGGCCTCCAGCTCTGCAAGAGAAGGACGAGCAATCTCCTCCTGTGAGATTAACCGCCTCTGAAAACCCACTGGATAGTCAGCTATGGGTTGGTTCTGACTCTACGGTACACAACAGTAACAACAACATCAGATAGAGGTAAACTTAGGATTGTTGTTGTTAGGTGCCATCAACCCATGTTGTTGTCAACTCAAAGGCACAAGGTTCTACTCCTTCAGCTGCTCCTTGGAGAAAAAGGTGGTCAATCTCCTCCCATGAGATTTAAAGCATCTGAAAACCCACTGAAAGGTCAACTATGAGTCAGTTGGAAGTTTATGGCACCCAACAACAACAAAGCACAGTGGTGTTTGCAGCTAACAAAGTTTAAGGATTAGACCAAATGAGAAAATTCACATAAAATGTTTATTCAATGTCTAGCACTCAGTAAGCCCTGGTAAGTGGAAGCTATTCTTAGATTGTTCTAGTATTCTTTCATCTTTAGGGTTCCCTGCATCTTACTGTTCCGCTTCTGTTGTTCTCCTTTCTGCTGATATTGTCCCGTTAGTTTGCAATCCCTTTTCTTTCATTTCTCCTTTTGTACCGTTTGATTTTCTATTTCCTCTTATCCTTTCATCCCCAGGCCAACCACATGTGCAAGCTGCAATGGTGGAGTACTTTGGAGGAGAGAATTAATGTAGAGGGGCTTGGTGGTACAGCAGGGTCAGGAGGATAGACAATGGCTCCATTTCCATGGTACCATTCAATATTCAGCCAGCTCTAGCTGTCACTCTAGATTGACCATAGGGAACGCTATGAGCATGAGTTTCTGTGAAATGGGTATAAAGCCATAGTGCTCACCAGCTAGGATATAGTTTAACTGCCCTGCACCTTTACTTTTAGAGTCCAATGACACTGTCTTTCCACTCTCAACAAAGTCTCCCTGTGGGAGAGAGTGTGTTCACTAATAATTTGTATATGTACAAGCCAGAGCCTGGAAAGAGGAACCATTTGTACTCACATTGTGGTCAGAGGAAAATTTTGTCATCATTGTTGTGACAGAACTACAACTAAATTTAGCAAGCTCTGTGTGTGTGTGTGTGTGTGTGTGTGTGTGTGCACACGCGCGCTTGCGTGC